CCAGAATGTCTACAAGCACGACTGGGAGAAGACCAAAGCTAAGAAATTTGACATTAAAGTGGATGCCATTCCCCTGCTGGCAGCCAAAGCCAACAGCAAGAATGCTAGTGAGGTGAGCATGGCCTGGGACCTGGGCTGGGGGACTCGGTGCTGTTCCCTGATGAGTGGGAGCTGCATGTGTGCTGTCTTTGCAGGTGATGTACAAGAAAGACTATGAGAAAAACAGGGGCAAAATGATCGGAGCCCTCAGCATTAATGACGACCCCAAGATGCTGCACTCTCTGAAGACGGCCAAAATGCAGAGTGATGTGAGTGCTTTTGTCAGTCTGTCTCGCTTTCAAGATGGCATCCCTGTCAACATGCCCAAGGGCAGTAGCAAGTAAAAGGATTCTCTATCCGTGGACCTCTCAGGTTCAAAACAACAAACTGCTGGGGAGAACTTTAGAGGTGGAATGATCTCCCAGATTCTTATACCTCTCGTGATTGAGGAGGAAAATTATTGCTTTGTACTTGATGTCCATTCACTTTGAAAAATGTATTAATATTTGATAGAATATTGGTTGTAATTCTTAACATCTTTTGGAAAACATCACTAGGTGTTCTCATATTTTCTTCTAATTGAAAAATAACCTTTGAAATCATGGTTTTAAAACTGTCTTTATTTTGGAAGAAAATCTTGAGCCAACAGATAAAAATCTTAGTATAGCTATCATTGCTCTTTATTGATAATTTGGTAATTAGTATTGGCCTATAAAATGCTCATTAATCATAGGCCCCTTTGAGAATCTGATAAAGTATTTGGATTATCCATCTCAAAAAACAAACTTTTTTCCATGCCTTTCGCCTGCATTTCAGAGAATGTATGGCTTTCCTAAGGCTTGTCTATGGACCATCTATTATCTTTTGGCTAAAATTCTTACTATAGAGAAGCAAACATCTACTATTGCAAATTGCAGTAATATGATGTATTTAAAAAATGTTTAGAGAACCACGTAAGAGTGTTAAGAATGTTCAACATAGCTTGCAAATATCAGTTTTTCATTATTAAATAGAAAGATGTTTGTATTATTTGCTTTCCTTTTACCCATGAGCTCATGTGATCGGTATGTACCTTCTCTCATTCATTTTGCATTTACTCATAAAGAACTTTAAGGCATCCCATTCAGTTACTTTATCTAATAACTTCACACTGAACTATGTCGGTATACTGTGCTTACATACATAAAACTATCTTGTTCTCTACTTCCTTATCTGTTCTTAACTCAAAAAGGTTATAGCTCTCTGTTGAGAGCACATGTATATTTATCTTTGTTTTTCCATCCTATCACAGAACCCATTAGAACACTAGGCACATAATAGTGCTCAGTAAACACTTTTTAATTGATTGATGTTGGCATCCAAAAGAAAAGTCACTAATGAGCCATTAACACATAATATCCAGGCTCAATGCTAAGCTGCAGGTATAGAACATGCATAGCTTTTTAAAAGAATCTTTTAAAGCCCTATTGGACCTTTGACAACATTTTATATGTGCAGATATGTGTGAACGAGTATGAACATAAACAAAGGAGTCAAAAACGCTCCCACACACCAACTGCTGTTGCAACATTGTTTTATGAGTTTATTTGTAATAAAGACAAACTATGTTTACATTTTTTAATGTTTTTTCATACCATCAGAAAGTTTTCACATTTTATTTTTATAAACTAGGATCTAGATTTTACAACTAAGGTATAAATGTATTCAGTGAAAGTTACTACCCTCAAAATATTAGAAGGAAGACCACATTCCCTAATAGACTGGATCGTTTGCGAAAGGAATTTCTACAGATTTATAATGCATATCTGTATTTGCTAGCTTGGGTCATTGTCTTTAATGATTCTATGACTATGGGGACATATAATGGGTTTAAAATTTTCCTAACAGCAACTGTCTCTCATTAAGGCAGTTGATGAAGCTGGGACTTTGACCTCATTAGTAGCCTGGCTAACCATTCCAGAAAAACAGCCAATGGAAGTGCCTTCTGAGGCTCAGTGAGGACATTCATTTTATGAGAACACTGTACAGAAGGGCCAAGGTTACTTTAATGGCTCAACTTCACAGATGTTTCTCCTTTGAGATGTTATAGCTACTGCAATCTGAAGTTTCTTTTAAATTGTTACCAAAAATTAAATGTAGTATGAAAAAACCTTTGAGATTCTCAGTGGGGTTTATGTCCTGTCAAATGTGGAATAATCAGGTTGAAAAATCAGAAACTATCCCTTTAAAGATGACTTTAGAAACTCCAAGGGTCAAGTGTACACTTCTGTTTATCAAGCAGTCATCTTATAAAACCAGAAGTAGAAATGATTGTCTTATGATTTTGGTCAACCAAAAAAACACTCCCTTATTGGAAAACTCTTCAAAGGTTAGATTACCTCCAGAGGTCATATAGTTTGTTAGCAGTCTTTGAAAACCCCTGTTTTAAAATAAAGTAATACTTGGCCGAAGCAGAAGCCATGGCCCATTTCTGATGTCTGACAGTTGTACTTTGATCTAAAAAGAGATTTGAGAAGATCTGTCCATGTATGATTTTGGGGAGCATTTCAACAATGTGTAACATATGAACAAATTTTAGGGAAAAAAATAAGCTACTCAGATGTTTGGATCTGTTTTTCTGAACTCGTATTTGTTGGTTATGAGAGATCTCTGTGCTTTTTCTGGAAATCCATTAAGGTAATAAATGGTAATTTCCTATTCACAGCGTGAATATCATAAAGACTATGAAAAGTCAAAAACTATCTACACGACACCTCTTGATATGCTCCAAGTCACTCAGGCTAAGAAAGCTCAGGCAATTGCCAGTGACATGGACTACAAGCACGTCCTACACAGTTACAGCTACCCGCCCGACAGCATCAACCTGGACCTGGCCAAGAAGGCGTATGCACTGCAGAGCGACGTGAGTATCCGATTTCCTCTATTCCCTCCTAAAATAAGGTAGAAACTGAGAAAGATTTCTAAGTGGGGTGAGATCATGCCGACACTTTTGGCATTTCTCACAAGTGTTGGCATGATCTTCTGTATGTAAGAACTCTGTAATGGGAAAGTTACCCCTGTGGTTCTATGAGAGAACACCCTTCAGAGTTAGAGAGACCTGGGTCTAGTATGTACCCCATCACTGTTTCCTTAGGGAAAGGTATCAATTTTTCTGAGTCTACAGTCCTCGTTGTAAAATTGGAATAAAACAAAACAACGGTTTTGAGGATTTAAGTGTTTGCAAAATTATTTAGCAGGGTGCCAGGCCTTGGTGAGTTCTCAAAAAACATTCACTATGATCATCATCATCACTATCAATAATTTTTTACATAGATTTCTATCTTGTCTAAAAATAAAATATATAATTACAGCATCAATTTTTTTAATAGTAGCTGGACTTTTTTCTGCAGATCAAAACTTCTTTAGGCAAATTAATTTGTCAGAGCTACATAATTGAACACTTTATCCTAACAATTCTATTTTCTAAACATGTGGCAAAATATACTTAACATAAAATTTGCCATCGTTACCATTTTAAGTCTACACTTCCGTAGCAGTTAATTATATTCACCTTGCTGTGCAACCAATCTCCAGAACTTTGTCATCTCACAAAACTGAAACTCTACACACAAACAACAGCTCATCATTTCCTCCCTCCCTCAACCCTTGGCAACCACCCTCTACTTTCTGTTTCTATGAGTTAGACTACTTTAGAGACCTCATGTAAATGCAATAATTCCATATTTGTCTTTTGTGAATGGCTTCCCCTAACCCTAACCCTAACCACTTAGTGTAATGTCCACAAGGTTCATCAGTCTTGTAGCATTTGTCAGGTTTTCCTACCTTTTTGAGTTGAATATAGTTCTGTTTTATGCTGCACCACATTTTGTTTGGCCATTTACCAGTCAGTGGACATGTGGGTTGATTCCATCTTTTGGCTGTGTGAATAATGCCGATGTGAACATGGGATACCAACATTTCCATCACTAAGAATTCTACTTTATACATAGTCATCTTATTTATTTGTTTAATTTTTGCTATCTTTCTTTCTCCCAAATAAATTGTAAGCCTCTTACAGGTAGGAACCCTATGGTTTCTTTTTTTTTTTTTCATTCTAATTAGAAAGCCCACACTAAAGAATAAAAATTTGAAGTTTTTATCTAGAGTTTAAGTTTAGGTACTATCTATAGCTAGATAATAAGGGTAACTCATTATTTTAATAATATTAAGTAAGTGTCCTCAAAATAGTACCAATTCCAAATGATAAGCAAATTGATGAGCATGACTGTGTTAAACTGCACTGTCAGCCAATGTAGAAAAACTCCTAAGCTGACTATTACACATGAAGGGCATTGCGAGCAAACAACTACTATCAACTCTTATCTAATCATAAAATGAGCAAAATTATCCAACTTTAATGTGGTCTTCAGTCCTAATTTGACCATTTACACATAATACTTAGAGCTCTAATGAGCAAACCTCTCACATTTGATTATCTAAATATAACAACTTCATTTATTCCTTGAAATGTAGCTTTGAAATTAGCATTTTCCTGATTGAAATTCCACTCAGTTGAAAATAAAAATGAAATATATGCCCACTGGGAAAGCAGTGAGAACCTAAGGGCTGTTAAAATCTCTCACCAAGAATATGTTTAAAATAACCTTAATGTCTGGAGTAAGAAAGCTGGTCAGAAATCTTAACATGTTAATGATTTTATGAATAAGCATGATGCTGAGCAAAAGAAATTTAACCTTTCTCTTGGTGTTCTAGGTCGAATACAAAGCTGACTACAACAGCTGGATGAAAGGCTGTGGCTGGGTGCCTTATGGGTCCTTAGAAATGGAAAAGGCAAAGAGAGCTTCAGACATCCTTAATGAGGTAAAGCCAGTGCGTTCATTTGTCACAGAGAGATTTGTGCATGTGCCATGAGGAAATTCCCCAAACCATGGGAAGTGTCTCCTTTACCACTTCATTATCTAGTAATTGTTGCTGAGGGGAAAACTAACCACATGCATGAATTATTCTGGTAGATAAATCACGTACGGGAACCATTCATAATAAAAATATTTTATCAACTTTATCAAGGTTTACTTTGCATACCATAAAATACTATGTTAAGTGTACCCCTGAATGAGTTTTAATAGGTTCCTATAGTTGTACAATCATCATTACGGTCGAATTTTAAAATTCTGCTAGTTCTCCAAAATGATTCCTTGTAAAATTCCTGCTCCCATCTTCAGTTCCAGGCAACCCCTCATTTGCTTTCTGTCTCTAGTGTTCTGCTTTTCTAGAAAATTCCTTTATATCAGTCTTCTTTCATTTAGAATAATGTTGTTGAGGTTCATCCATATACCTACATGTGTCTGCAATTCCTTTCTTTTTATTATTGAGTAGCATTCATTTGTATGGCTATGTTGCATTTTGGTTGTCTAGTTGGTGCACATGTGCATTTTTTCCACTTTTTGGTGATTATGAATAATGTATATAAAGAATATTACACGCCGAAACCGGTTTGGCTCAGTGGATAGAGCGTCGGCCTGCGGACTGAAAGGTCCCAGGTTCGATTCCGGTCAAGGGCATGTACCTGGGTTGCGGGCACATCCCCAGTAGGAGATGTGCAGGAGGCAGCTGGTCGATGTTTCTCTCTCATCGATGTTTCTAACTCTCTATCTCTCTCTCCCTTCCTCTCTGTAAAAAATCAATAAAATATATTTAAAAAAAAAAGAATATTACAGATTATGTATTATATATGCTATGTCATATTCTTGATGACTGTGAAGTAGTATATAGATTATTATTTAGTCTAAGAAAAAATAACGATGATCTTGCAGTCTCAAAGCAGCCAGGCGAGATCTGTCCCTTCTCTGCCTACAGTGAAACATCCCGCTTCTGCCAGGCAAACCCATCATCAAGGAGGTTAGACTACATAAAAAAGGGCAGAGGTGCTCAGTGGGAGTTGTCTTCCACACTCAAGATTTTGTTGTTCATGTTGTTTTGTGCTTTTGTTTGTTTTTGGTGAAGACCATTGTATCTACTCAGGAACTTTTCAGAAAAAAGTTCTTCTGAGTTGATTGTTGTCAGAAGTCTGAAGTTGAAAGAGTGATGCAGCTGTGGGGGAAGAGGTGGAGAAGAATAAAGGGATAAGGGTAGCTAGAAGTTGTCAGCTCCCATTCGAACACCTTCCAGTGTTCCCTCTCCTGTGACTTCTCAGCACTTCAGTGACAATCTATGTACTAACCATATTGAGGCTTGCAGAGCAAAAGTACTCCCTCTCTTTTAAAAAAATACATTTTTGTTGATTTCAGAGAGGAAAGGAGAGGGAGAGAAACATCAATGATGAGAGAGAATCATTAATCAGCTGCCTCCTGTATGCCCCCCACTGGGGATCAAGCCCACAACCCAGGCATGTACCCTTGCCCAGAATCAAACCCGGGACCCTTCAGTCCCCAGGCATTCTATTCACTGAGCCAAACCAGCTAGGGCACTTCCTATCTTTTTAATAATCCCTAGCTACTGTCCCAATTCCCCAATTTCTCCTCGCTCAACTAGAGATCTTCTTTACTTTAACTGCTGATGGTGTGATGGAGGAAATGACATCTCTGAGAACTTGTTAGTGCAAAGAACCCTAACTTGTATTTCTGAATGGTTTTCTCTTAATCCTTTAGAAAAATCTGGGATGTTTCTGTATTCTGTTTCTCTGAGCGTGCCCTCTTTTGTGTCATAAGCAAGAAATTAAGAGAGTAAAGTCTGGTTCCTGAAAGTTGTATTGACAAATCCAAGATTAAGTCAATTTTTAAATAATGGCTTTTGCATTGTATTCATTCCCACCGCGCCCCGCCCCCCTGCCCCAACCAACCCAAAATCTAGTGTTTTCACATTTTAAAATCGGAAAAGTCACGTCTCTCCAAAATAAATTTCAAAGGTTTTCATATATTAGCCTTCAGTGCAAGTAATATAATTGTTTTTCTTTTTTTTTTAATTCACCAAACAGAAAAAATATCGCCAACATCCAGATACTTTCAAGTTTACTTCCATTGAAGATGCTCCAATTACAGTGCAATCTAAGATTAACCAGGCCCAGAGGAGTGATGTAAGTGTGAATCTTATCTGTGTCTCCATGAATGCTAATACAAATACATTAGTATTCCAAATGTACTGATCGCCTGTAGTTATTATGGAATCTGAAGAGACTCAATTACATGAGCAACTTTATAGTTCCCTTAGCTTCTCATTAACAAAGCACACCTAATTCATATCTTAAGAGTATTATGTACTGTGTGCTGTCCTTCCAATATTTTGACCTTGATTTCCAAGGAGAAGGTAAGAAGGGCTTCTCTTGATAACAAGAAACACTACACACCTATTTCTAGGAAAGACCAGGAAGATGAATAAAAGCACTATATCATATGGAGGAGTTATATTTTAAGTCAGAACTAAGACAAAAATCATATAATAGTCAAACCTACTACCCACTACTCCCTTTAGGAGCCCACAGAGTATAATAGAGATGGTTGGTGTATCCGACTGCATTAGCCTCTCTTATGCTCAGGAAAGTGTCTACACATTCACATTTTCATCAGGACACCTTCCTGGGCTAACTTCCACCAGGTGCCCCGACCTAGGTCCAGGGGTTCCTAGTACATATATACCAAGGTGCCTTTGTCCAGGCTGAACCAGCACGAAGATAAGACCCTGTGTAATTGCATGTGAGACCTTGAATGCCTTCAGATGTTTGCAGCTGAATATGGGGACCACACAGAGTCTTTCATAAGAAGCACCCCTGTGCAGTGCGACTCTCCCTAAAATTCTTTTCCTCTGCCATTAAATCTTTTTTCCTACTTTATTAGTTTATTTATTCGTGTGGTTTTTTCTCTTTCAGATTGCCTACAAAGCCAAAGGAGAGAAAACTCTTCACAAATACAGCCTGCCAGCCGACCTGCCCCAGTTCATCCAGGCTAAAGTCAATGCCTACAATATCAGTGAGGTGTGTGCATGGGCTCAGCTGGGGGCTGCTGATAAGTCTTTTCTAAGTGTGGTCTGAGTTATACTTAAATGACATTTTTCTTTCAGAATATATACAAAGCAGACTTGAAAGATATGAGCAAGAAGGGGTACGACCTGAGAACGGATGCGATTCCCATCAAGGCTGCCAAGGCTGCCAGGCAGGCGGCCAGTGACGTAAGTCCAGCTGGTGGTCACCTGTGTGTAACCAGAAATGTGGGCGGGATGGACTTGTTATCCCAAAGTCCCACGTCTGCAGTCCCCACCTGGAAGCAAGTCTGGTTGAAAACTGTTTAGAAAAGGAAGTTCCTTAAACAGATCTGATCAGCTCTCATCAAGCACCCTAGTTAAAAAATTCTCATCAATATTTCTATACAAATGCACTTTATTCTCCTTGTGAAAATAAATAAGGTACATACTATTTAAGTATAACAGCCTCCTAATGGTAAAATTTTGTCTCAAAACTTGCTTAATTTATATGAGTTCCCTATTGCTTCTACAGATGATGACTCGGCTTCAAATTTTATAGCCTCCAATTGTCAGTCATTAGATTCCATTACAGTTAGGAACTATGTTTCTTTTGCTGTCTTGCTTTTACCCAGCTGCGAACTGAAGTCCCTTTGCTCTTAAATTTAAATACAGTGGACTCAGGCCCCCACCTGTTGTCCTGTAGGAAGTGGGATAACCTTCCTGTACTGCTGTAGTTGTCCTGAGGCTTCTGTGTTGTGATTCCCTGTCTCCTGGTTTGTTTATGATGGTATTGCTCTGGCTTCCTGGATTCTTCTTCCCCGGATTTACTTCTTTCTGCTCTGCATGATCCAGGGACAGAACACAGCCCCTTGCTTTTGATTTCCCCCAAGTGCTAAGCACAACGTCACTGACTGTTTGAAATGAAATTGACATTGCACCAGGGTAAATATGTGACAGTTGAGTAATAAATGCCTGTGTCCTAAAGGCCCTGCCATCCAGAATTTCTGACTGATCCTCTTCCTCTGTGGGTGGCTTCCTCCAGTCTCCCCTCCCCGGCTCCTCCTCCTTCCCATCCCCCCTCCCCTCTCCTGCCCCATACACACAAACCTTCCCTCACATCTCTGCTTCTCGGTTTCCCAGGTTTCTTCCCAGGTCTCCCCAAGGAAGCTCAGTTCCCCTCACTATTATTCAGAGCCAATTAGTGTTTACACTACTGACTCTGAGTCTCCCTTTGAATATGCAGACTCATTAAAATTCTACTACCACCGCTACAATTCTACTAATCAAATAGCCAGCTCTTTGGGATCTTCTTTAGCAGCCCAACGTCATTGGTAGAGATTGTGAAATATTTATCTTTTCATTTGTCTCTCTCAAGTATCTAAGTGGGAAGGAAGTTATTTTACTTTGACATTGATATGAATAGTGGTAACACCCCACCCCAATCTTGCTGGGGTAGCAGAAGCAGCTATAGACAATCAAATGGGCTCAAAATAGCATTTTAATTTTACCTGGCTACTTACAAGCGAGTATCTACTTGTTTGGTTATTGAAGTAATTTCTGGAAAGCCCAATTGCTTCAAACCATGGTCTCATTGCTCAGTAAAATCTTCATTGATACATTTTAAAATATGCCCACTTTTGTTTCTAATAGGTTCAGTACAAAAAAGATTATGAAAAAGCCAAAGGGAAAATGGTTGGCTTCCAAAGTCTCCAAGATGATCCTAAACTGGTTCATTATATGAATGTAGCCAAGATACAATCGGACCGGGTATATAAAAATGACTATGAGAAGACAAAGACGAAATTCAACATACCCCATGATATGTTCAATGTTGTGGCAGCTAAGAAAGCTCAGGATATTGTCAGCAATACCAACTATAAGCATCCACTCCATCATTACACCTACCTGCCTGATGCCATGGACCTGGAGTTGTCTAAAAACATGATGCACATACAGAGCGATGTAAGTGACATGTACTCCACAAGACAATCTCCCTTCAAGGTCAGAGCCTGCATGAGAGAAGCCCTTGCCTGGGGCGCTCACTCCTCTTTTTTCCCTTTGCCGTAGAATGCCTACAAGGAAGACTACAACACTTGGATGAAAGGCATCGGCTGGATACCTATTGGGAGTCTGGATGTAGAAAAGGTTAAAAAGGCGGGTGATGCCCTGAGTGAAAAGAAGTACAGGCAGCATCCAGACACCCTCAAATTCACCAGCATCGTGGACTCCCCAGTTATGGTCCAGGCAAAGCAGAACACACAGCAAGTCAGTGATGTGAGTACAACCAAACAGAGGGTGCAAAGGATGGAGGGAGGATTCAAGAAAATAAATATTGGCCCACTTAAAAAAAATTATTCTGAGCTAATATCTTTTCCTTAATTTAAAATTAATAATTACAATACTTTTTAGCTTGATCACTAATGTTTTCTTTTCCTTTTATCTTGGCTTTTACCTTTCTTTTTGAAACCTCTTCCTCTTTAACTACCTTGAAATACTGTGTTATTGTATAAATTGACATGGTGCAAAAAATTCTACTCCGCTACTACTACTACTACTACACACACACACACACACACACACACACACACACACACCTTTTATCTTGGCTTTTACCTTTCTTTTTGAAACCTCTTCCTCTTTAACTACCTTGAAATACTGTGTTATTGTATAAATTGACATGGTGCAAAAAATTCTACTCCGCTACTACTACTACTACTACACACACACACACACACACACACACACACACACACACTAACTTTAAGCTTAAATCCTAGACACTTTATTGTGGCAAATTTATCATATCCAATTCTATATTAAGTTCCTTATATTTAGTGTTTATATATAATACAGGGAAATAATACACATGAGTATATGATTTTGCACCTCATTTCACCATAGATAATTATCATAGAGGCTTTTTTTACTTATGTCTTGGTGGAGATTAGTACATTGTTTGCCTGCCTGTCCATAAGTCATATATATAATCTGGCTAAAGTCAAACCTCACGGAAAGACTGGTGTATAGAAGAGTCAAAGGGACATCAAAAGCACACATTCATTAATTCATTGAATGAATGTTTTTGAACACCTTCCATGTGCCAGGCACTGTATTATGTGATGACTGTACAAAGATTAAGTAGACAAGGATATGTGAGATACAGGCTATAACAAGAATATAGGACAAGAGTATAAGAAAGTTGTGGGTAGAACAGCATTGCCACACAGACAGATGAATGCTACAGGAGATACACGTGTTCAGTAAGTTCAAGGGAAGAGGTAACTGCCTACCAGAGCTTCCCTAGAAAATTCGGGAAGGAAAAGCATGACAGTAAAGAAGTAATGAATGGAAGAGAAGTGAAGTGTTCAGGATTGTAACCTGGTCATTGAGGGTCTTGTACGCCAATTTATAGTCTAGACATTATGGGGTAAGTAGCAAGATGTATTGAATATTTTTAATTCATGGAGTTGCATTATCATGTCTGCGTTTTAAATCTGACAAAAAGTACAGAGGCTGTATTGGAGAGGGAGAGATTGGAAAAAGAAGATGAATTAGAAAGCTGTTACAGACACCCAACAGAAGGCTTACTTGGACTTTAAGGCAGTAGTGATGGGGAAGGAGGTGTTTAGAAAGTAGAATTGATGAGATTCTGTGAATGCTTAGAAGTGGTTTCTAAAGTCAGTGAGGACGTAAGGATAGCTCTGGGATTCTTAGAAGAATTTATTAGTATTTGAGGATTCACTTAGATATCAGCCACCTCAGACTTTACTTGTGATACATACACACCAGTTTACACATGATGATCCATATAGACGTGCCTGGGAAATGGAGGTATGTATGATAAATAACAATGGAGAGACTGAAAATCTCCTTGTGATTCCTGTTCTAGTTCAGTTTTAGAAAATTGAGCAATTTATTTCATTTTTATTACCAAGAGGAGGATATAATATGATGTCTACAGATGTCTTTAAAATGACAAGCTAGGGTAAATCCAAAATGGTAAACCTTTTGAGTACACTGGATTTATGTATAAGCACCTTCATTTAACGAGAAAATTATTATATGCTTTTACTTGTACAATTATAATTGGAAAGTTTTAAGCAGAAGTGAAAGACATTCTAACCATCATTTTCTCTCTAAAAATAACAAACCCAAACTAAAACAACACAAGACTTTAAGAACTATTAGCTCCTCTAGCAAAGAATGAACTTTTCTGGCTTTGGTGTAGTTCACGTTAGAACCTATTTTTCATTATCTTTGGCAGTAAATTATTTCTATTCTCTTAAGGATTCTTTCTCTCTATTATAATACACAGAGTTGTTGGCTCTTCCTAAAGACAACAAGATGCTTGAGTTTCTGAAAAACAGGAAAATACCTTTGATACTTTTGCACAATAGAAATGGTGGGGATTGTGCTAGGAATAACTCCTTTAAGCATGCCATGAATGCATTTTCCTTTTTGTACTATTTGTAATGCCTTTTGTTATTGTGGCTGTGTGTTGCAGATCTTATACAAAGCTAAAGGAGAAGATGTGAAACATAAATACACAATGAGTTCTGATCTTCCTCAGTTTCTACAGGCCAAGTGCAATGCTTACAATATAAGTGATGTAAGTAGGATCTTTGATGGGGTGTGAAATACAGAACTGGTGATAAAATAATAGAATTTTAAGGTATGATGGGACCTTGACAATTACTTAGGTCAGTTTTCCACACGGTCTCGGTTGCAGCCTGGCCCGTGATGATGGTTCTGTACCTCTGAGTTGGCCTTTTAAAGTGTAGGACAACTTTAAAGGCCTCTTCTTCTTCTTCTTCTTCTTCTTCTTCTTCTTCTTCTTCTTCTTCTTCTTCTTCTTCTTCTGTATTGAATTTATTGAGGTGACATTGGTTCATAAAGTTATAGGTTTCTGTATTTGGTATTGTGTGTTCACCATTCCAAGTCAAGTCTCCTTCCAACACCATTTATCCCCCTGTATCCTCTTCTACCGCCCCACCCCCCTTTCCCCTGACAATCACCATAAAGGAATCTTCTTTATGCAGAGCTTAACATCTAGTTCTCTAAACCTCCAATTAGTTTTCCTAATTTTTGCATGTGGAGAAGGTTATTATCCTCCAGAGAAATAAGAATAAAGAAAATCCTTTTTTTTAAAAACAACAATCCTAAAATTGCTAGATCTTACCACCAGACCTTCCCTTGACCTTTCCATAAGACTGAACAACTTCATTTTCTCCAGCTGCTCCTCACATGCCCCGGTCTCCAGAACCTTTATTAGATCCACAAACTGGACCCACTCCAGTTTCTCATGTCCCTCTTCAATATGTGCCCAAACCAGATCTGGGTGAATAATCAGTGCAGAGCCCAGTAAGTCCCTGCTATGTAAAATGTGACGTTTTGCTCTAGGAGATTCTTTTAGCTTCCATCTGCAGAGGGATAAAACAATCCCAGCGGTTGAGGAATCACTTCAGTGGATGAATACACAGCATGCTGACATCCCGTTTCTTCTTCTGTCCCAGGTCTGTTATAAACGGGACTGGCATGATTTAATAGCCAAGGGCAACAATGTGCTGGGAGACGCTATTCCCATCACTGCAGCCAAAGCGTCAAGAAACATTGCCAGTGATGTGAGTACACGTTCTAGGTGAAATCTGGGTGATTGCCTTTTAAAAAAGTAAATAGATGTGTGCTTGTTTAAATGCTATCACATTGAAAACAAGATGTTGAATTCATGACATTCAAATTCTCCACAAAATATTGTTTTGAGAAACTGTCACTTTTCCATGTTTTGTGATTCTTTTCACTTGACCCCACTTGGTAGAGCTGTCATAATCCTGACAGCGGCTTTCTCCCTGATTCATATCCCAAATTACCTCCCCCGACACCTTCCCTGACAGCCCGCATTTATTTTCAGTGAGAACATCCTGACTGACACTAACACATTAAATTCAGGTGCCTGCCTGCATTATAATTGCATTAAGACGATTGAAAAGATGTTCTATAAAATGTACAGATTTTATTTTTATTTTTTTGTATTGAATTTATTAGGGTGACACTGGTTAACAAAATTACACAGGTTTCAGGTGCACAGTTCCACAACACATCATCTGTACACTGTATTGAGTGTTCATCACTCCAAGTCAAGGCCTTCCATCACCATTTATCCCCCCTTTACCCTCTTCTGCCACCCCTCAGCCCCTCCCTGCTGGCAATCACCATTTTATAAATCCAATGGGCAAAGAACCACTTTTCTAGAATGTAATTTTGATTTATGTAATTGATGCCCATTTTATCTATAACAGAAACAGCATACACTTATTCTTCTTCCCATAATTGAAAAACAACTTTTTCACAAAGCATACCCCCTCCCCCTTCACATCCGC